AGCCTGAGCCCAAGTCTGTCTCTACAAATGGATCTCGAAGCTATCCATATTTTTAGGGCTACTTATCCCGAACCATCTATGCCTCTTCTCTGGTCCATGCATCTACTTATGTTACGTCGTTTCTTCCTGTGCAGCTAGATCTATTATTATACGGAAAATACGAAGTATCTTGAACGTTTCTTTTTATTGATTATTGTTTTCATTTTCAGTTTACTGTTAACTCGGAGGATGGCATGTTTACAAAAGTCGCAGCAACTTGTCACTACTGGTATATATACCACTGATGCAATGATTATTATCAGTTGTACTTTGACAGCCATTATCAATTACAGAAATCGTGGTTGCTTCCATCCTTTTTTCAGGTAAGAATTGTCCAAGGAACATTTCAGAAGGCTTCATTAGAAAAAATTTTTTGCTGACTTAGTTTGTCGCTGGCTTTTTCAGGCTTGTTCTGAGACTGTTTAGGAACATTGAACATGAGGGATAACAAGTAGCTTTTTGACGTTAATCAATCCTATTGTGGAATGAGCCACTGCATTCGACTCCCATTCAGAATTGCAGTGACGTATTGAATGCGTATGTGGTCTGTGCAATGACTAGCGATGGCTAGCCAAGGTACAAATCAGCGCTTTCATTCTCCCACACGAGTCTGGTGCCAACTAGGTGATCCTGGGGAATGAGAAGCTGCTCTGATCTAGGCGGTAACCCAACCAGGATTCGAAGCGACCCTATCTCCACCAACGAAGTGTCAAATCCTTTCGGAGTCGGTCAACCGGTATTACGCTTGTTTTGGAGGTCAAAATTAGTGACTTATACATTGGCTGGCTTCCGCAAATCATTGTATAGGCCACATACGCATTCAAACGACACTACGATTCTGGATGGAAGTCGAATGCTAGGGCGCATCCCAAAACGTAATAATAAATGCCAAAATTTTATTCTCACTCTTCCTCTCTAATACCATGGCTTGTAGCCCAAAATCGTCATTACAGTACCCTCTTCTCGTTATTTCTTATCAGCTACGCGATTAGCGACATATTCGAGGTATCATCGTTTATAACTAGTCGCTATGTCGGCAATATAAGCTTGTTAACGGAGCTCAGCGGTACGATTCACTAAAGTCTTTAAAGTCTAGTAAATGTAAAGGATAATGACTACCAAGTTCTTCAGAATTCTTCTACTTCTATGCATCTCCATGTGCAGTTCTCCTTCTAATTGAACGTTTTGTCGCCTCATGTTTTCCGATGCAATACGAGAAAGCTCGACCGTGGAAGGCATTCTGGCTAGCTCAACCAATATGTGTGAGTATTGAACCCTTCTTTTTTTTCCTTGAGTACAGCAATTTCTTTCTCTTCTGTTTCGCACTTCTAATTTTTCATATTCAGTGGAAGGGGAAATCTAAAAAGTCAAAGATTCTCGGAATGCTCCTACGTAACTTGTGTTGTTGTCTGCTGATTCATCGGTCTGGATTTTCTCGGTAATTGAAAAAGTGATTAAAAGTCATGAGAAAATTTTACGTCCGAATGGGGGACACTCAGGAAAAACAGTAAAGTGTCTAGAGACTGTCTTTGAGACGAAAGTCGTCCAAAAAAAGTGTGAAAGACTTCTTCTTTTTCACCTTCGTTGACACTTGTGCTATTGTAGAGCAGGAATTACTCTTCTGGTGCTTTTCCTAGCAAATGTTTGGTAGCATGGAAGCAACCAGCTTTTAGCCTTCGTGGCAAGGAAGCGCCGCTTCGACCTTTCCTCTCGGCCTAATCTGGGCACGATAAAATCACAGCTCACGATAATTTTGGGTTACCTAGATTTAGAAAAATAATGGAAGCGATAGTCCAGAACAGTGAAAAGGTGGCGAAGAAAGCATGGAAATCTGCGTCTTCAGAGAGATACTATAAGGCTCCGAAAAGATGTAAAATCAAGGGTTGGACGTGAATGTCATGAAAAAAGCTGCTTGGAAGGGGTATTCAGACGAGCTGTCTGGATGCCCGCACCATTGTGCATACATAGCTGACTGCAGAATGCTGCCTGAGTGCAAGGTGCGGGTCTCTGTGCAAATGG